ATATTTTTAATTATTAAAGATTTTACTAAAACTTTAATAATTATATAATTAATTAAAATAGCTTAATTATCTATTTCTTTATAAGTATAGGTACTTAATAGTAACGTAATATATTACTATAGTTTTAATCCTTTTATATTATAGGGCTATTTCTAACTCTTTGATTAGCTGACCGGCCCTATGGCTTAAAGCAATTACCCTGTGTCCCGACTTGTAGCCGGCTAATATATATACTAACAGCTTAAATAGGCAGCAGCAGAAAAACAATACACGCCCGGTACTCATACTTATTGCCCCCTGCTGTACTACTACTATTGTTAGCAGTGAGGAAACTGCTCTTGTTTCGTATGATGCCTACGACAGGTATGGGAAGGAGACTAGGCAGATGAAGACTAGTAAATGGATCTTCTAGTTAATTATACCGAATTCTCAGTTATTTTATACTTCGAGTAGAGGTCGAAGGAGAAGAGTATATAGTATAGAATTGGTGCCAACTGAGCGGAACAACTCATAACTTATACATCTCGTTATCCCTTTCTATCTCACGCTGGCAGGCTGGCAGGTCCACGACTTCGAAACTGCAACGCCGGACCTTTCTTGTATGCCGTTACATGGTCATATAACTGGAATTCGTCCAGTCTATGGCGTCCGTCGCCAGCTTCCACAGAACCTTGTCCAATACATCCTTCACGACCTGACGAACGACGAATGTCAAACTTGATGAGCATGGTAACAACAGTTAACATCAGTTCAGCCATAGCAAAGCCTTTCCCAATACAACTCCTGGGGCCGATAGAGAAGGGATTATACGCTGAGCGACCCAGTCTCGCCTTCTCCATGGCCACTTCATCATTTGGCAGCCAGCGGTCAGGTTTGAAGTCGAAGGGGTCGGTAAAATACGCATCGTTGTGATGGATGGCGTAGATGCATACGCCGATGTCACATCCTGACGGGATGACATGCCCATCCACAATCTGTCCGCCATCTAGAACCTGACGCCATAGCGCCGATCCAGCTGGTGGTGACATGCGTAGACTTTCTTCGATGCATGCGCGCGTGAAAATGCAGGCGTTCAACCTTGACCCAATCTTGACATCTTTGCTTGTGGCAAACGCACTTCGAACTTCGGCGGCAGCCCGCTGGTAAAAGCCTGGGTAGTGGGTCAGGTAGAAGAAAGTGGCTGAGATGGCAGTTGAAGAAGTGTCTGTGCCCGCAACAACCAAGGTTGTACTCTCAGCCATCACCTCGTTCTTGGTGAAGCCTTCATTTGTTTCCTTGTCCTTGGCGGTGAGAAGATGGCTAATGATGTCGTTTCGTTTCAGTGGACTTGTCGTCATGCGATCGAGAACCAGTCGTGATATAAACTCAATGAACTTGTTACGACATTGAATGGACTTGGGGAACAGATGTCGGTCTAGTCGCCAAATAGAGGCTTCCGGTGCCTGTATTAATACCCCAGTTCGAATATTTGAGCCTTCAATACTGTCGACAACATAGCGGTTCTCGTCATCCCCCAGTAGATTATACTGTTGTCCAAATACAATGTCCGCCATGATGTCAAATGTGAGATAGCTGGCTATCGAGGCGAGTCAGCTCAGCATTTTCTCTCAATATCAACTATAGCTGTCACCACAAGACTCGGTCCGAACTTACACCAGCGAGATAGATCATGGCTCCGAGACCACTGAGTGCTTGCGTCCGAGTGGCCGGGGCTGATCTGGTTGCACAGCTTCTCAACATGCTGTTTAATGGTGTCCTCAAAACCACGGGTGGATGAATCGGAAAGTCCCTGGCTGATGAGTCGACGGCGCCGCCCATGGGTCTTCTTGTCAACTGCTGTGAGGACATTGGGTGCGCGATGTTTCATGGCTAGATATGCTGAGGACTTCTGAACATTGGCGCTTAGATCGTAGATGTCTACTTTCCAGTCATTCTTTGTCGCCTCAATTGCGTACGTACGTATCCTAGCTCGTCGCGAATTACCAGCCTAGAATACAGCCTGCCTTACCTTTGAGCCCAGAGGCTGTATTGACGAGAAGTCGGTTGGGAGCGTAACGAACGAAGGAGCCTGGCGTCGCGTCGATGAATCAGATTTCACGAATTCGCTACTTGAACATGATCATTATTACCATATTTGTTGTGGCATCTTAACATGTCAATATGTAACGAGCCTCTCCAGGCATGATAGCCAGAATATGTGTTTGATATCTTAGCAAGAATTGGACCGGGATATTTTGCCAGTGGGTGAAACCACAAGCGATGCGCCACTACCACGACGGCCTTGCAAAATTCGTCAGTTTTGTGCAACCTTGTGTGAACGTGAATTGAAGTTTGTGACTTGCATAGAATAACATTGCAGCGGCTGTGGTGGTAAACATCACAAAAGTAGCTGAAGCTGCCGCCTTCAAGGCGTCAAAATTGTCCGGTTTATTCATAAGGAAGCGGTAAAAATAATGATATGACAATAGAGAGGTGATAAATTTGATTTGTGCGACTCTGTTAGATGCAATTCGCGTCAAGTCCTTTTCTTGCAGTCACTGGTCGAATAGATAGATATATATAGGGTAGGGGGTAGTGAGATTCAGCGAAGCCAGGTACGGAACAAGAACTGCTGTGGTAACCCAACCACAAAAAGAAGAAGAAATAACGTAGGCAAGTAAGACTGGTGGTTATCAATCAATTGGCTAGCTGGAACCGGAAAGGGCTAGCAAGGGCGCAAAAGATGGACCCTACCAGGCATGGAGAGTCGTGGCACCAAGATGTGGCACCATGGCCTGTCTGTATCTGACTATCTGTGGAGCAAAGCATCATCATGAGACTCTGGAGGCAGAGACGAGAGATAGACTAGATGGGGTGGAGCCACCAAAGACATACATACCAAACGCTGTGCTGATGTACGGGGGTCATTGTACCCACATTTAGGCTGGCTACACGGCTGGCTATGAAATTGTACAGGCCATCGTTACATGGTGAATATGTTTGACCGTCCCGCGCACCCAAACAGGTCTTGTCTTGCATCGCTCTACGTTATGCCGTATTTGTTCACGCCACTAATCTTGACAGAGAGTGAACCAAGCAACCTATTCGATCGTCAAGTGTGAGGAAAATGGAAGCACAAGTTGAGCAGGAGTTATCTCATTTGCTAGTAACAGAATTGCTATCGTGAGATGCCCACAGAACGGCAGAGTAAGTTTCAATGCTGATTGCCCTTGATAGATACCAGTTCGCAAAGCCAGTTAGATGGTAAGTTCCTTTCAATGCAATGAGGTGTGAGTCGCGTAAAAAAAGTAACCATTAGGCACTAGGACTGAAACCCAAGACGTTCTTCTTGCAGATAAGGAAATCAGCCGTATGGTGGAAATTGGCCCCTCCGACACTCTGGTAGCCATGGCCAAGAAGACAATCTCTTCAAAATACCGTGAGCACGATGCTGCCCTGCCGCAGCCACGCGTGCTGCAATCCTATGAGACAGACGCCAGTGAGATACACTATGAAGCCATAGAAACTTTTGCGCAACAATCCGAGCTTCCAACGGCGGTAGACGCTGTGAAGAAGCTTGAACCCAAGGTGTCTACCGTCAGCAACTCGATGCCAAAACATGGAGAGCCGGTGCCAGTAACAGCGGCTACTAAGGTAGATGACGAGGTCATCACAGCCAGAGACGTGGTGGTAGGACTGGTTGCGCAGAAGCTCCGGAAGGGATTCGGCACTATTGATTGCTCGAAATCTATTAAGAATCTTGTTGGTGGTATGTCCCTACAGATCGGCTAACGGTCTGCTGATATCTCGCTGCACTCTTTCTCTAACACAAAGTCCCAGGCCGATCAACATTGGAGAATGAGATTATCGGTGATTTATCTTCCATCTTCAGCTCACTGCCAGACAGAGCAGAGGAGATGGATATTTTAGAGCTATCACGTACTCTGTCCACGGGAGCCTCAATGGCTAAACTCATGGCTGCTTGCGCAGAGCTCACTGCCGGCATCTTTTCGCAAAAGATGCCTGGCGGGTTCACAGTAGCAGACGCGAGATGGCATCTGGAGGAGCATTGGGGGTTGGGAATTGGACGACAAGATGCCGTGTTGTTGAGAACTGCAACAGAGGTCTTGCCCTCGCGCCTGAAAAGCAACAAGGAGGCGACGATATTTCTGGATACCATAACGAAGGCCTACGGCACCGAGGCTGGTTTGATTCTGCAGCCGATATCTGACGTACCAACATCAGTGGCTGCGCCAAGTCTGAATGCGAAGCTTGTAAATGAGCAACATGGCGCTGGACCTTGCCCTGTCCCCACTGTCAATCCTGTTTCCCTCGACAATATCGCCTCATCGCATAGAGACGCAATCACGAAAGCTCAAAGATCACTCAACGATGTCAGAGCAGAGAAGGATGCGTTACAGTATCAAGTAGATGTTCTCACTGCAGAACTAGGGAATGAGTTCATTGATGGAATCACGCCAGTATGGTCTCCACGCAAGATTCGTAAATATGAATCGTGCTGGAACTGGGCTCTTCAGGACTTATTACTATTGGTTCATGGTATCCTATGCGGTGAGAAGCACTTGGACGATCAAACGACGCGCGATACCTGTGACATGATTGTTCGTCGTTCTAACCAGCGCTTACTCGATGTGATGCGCTATCTGAAAAGCAGCGAGGCATTGCGTGCAGATGAGCTGCTCGTGTCGATGGTCAAGGAAGTACTTTCCATGCTGATTGAGGATGGCCAGGATTGGATATCTCACTTTCAGACATCGCGCTTCTTCAGCAAAGGCTCACAATCCCTGGCGACTCCGATGTCGATGCATGGGCAGACGATCCCAGACCCGAATCAATGCGGAATAAACAACAAGGTCGGTATAGAAGTAAAAGTCAAAACACAATCGAGACGCATCTGGAAGCAAAATAATTCCATGACTGAACTGTATCAGTCAAGCCTCGTCAGCGTACACCAACACGGGCTGTTGCTCAAAGGAAAGACAGTCCTCCTAACCGGCGCGGGCCCCTCGTCCATAGGTCGCGGCCTGCTTCACCAATTGCTCCTTGCGGGTGCTCGTGTGCTCGTGACAACAAGTCATTTCTCGCCGGCGACATGCCGTGAACTTCAGGCTCTGTACATGCAATGGGGATCGTCTGGTTCACAGCTAGTCATTGTCCCGTTCAACCAGGGCAGCAAAGGGGACTGTGAAGCTCTCGTCAAGTATGTATTTGATGCACAAGGCGGACTAGGATGGGATCTTGATTACGTTATCCCATTTGCCGCCGTATCTGAAGAAGGTCAAGTTGATGAGCTGGGATCCAAATCCGAGTTTGCCCACCGCATCATGCTTACAAACGTGTTGCGGCTTCTGGGAGCCATCAAGCAACAGAAACAAGACGGTCCATCGAACACGAGTCCCGTCAAAGTGTTACTTCCGCTGAGCCCGAACCACGGTGTCTTCGGCAATGACGGACTATACGCAGAGTCTAAGGTTGGACTGGAGATGCTTCTCAATAAATGGTACTCAGAGGAATGGTCACCATACCTTGCCATTTGCGGTGCCGTGATAGGATGGGTGCGTGGCACGGGTCTTATGGCTGGAAATGATGTCGTGGCCGCTGACGTTGAAGCGATGACTGGGATACAGACCTTCTCTCAAGCAGAGATTGCCCAATATCTCGCAGCACTCTTGGCCGAACCGTTTGCTTTTCAGGTTGAGATGCAGCCAGTTTATATTGATCTTTCGGGTGGCATGAACGATACTGCAGGCTTACATTCAGTACTGTCTGGTATCCGCCGTAATCTGAGGCAGGACTCTCTTATTCCTCCTGCTCAGCAACGGCGACAAGACTACCACCATGACAACCAATCCGGTATGCAAAAAGATCCTTCATCCGTCTCACCATTAGCAAATTTGAAGCTCGGATTTCCTAAACTACCCGACTACCATGAAGAGATCAGCCCCCTCCATACGCTCCGCGGTATGGTAGACCCTGATCGTGTTGTAGTCATTACTGGTATGTCCGAGGTTGGCCCCTGGGGCAACGCCCGCACCAGATGGGAGATGGAAGCCTGTGGAGAGTTCTCGCTGGAAGGATGCATCGAGATGGCATGGATTATGGGGTTTATCACACATTATAACGGCAGACTCAATGACGACGCAGGCGGCGAGCACTATATAGGTTGGGTGGATGCTAAAAGTAAAGCACCAGTTGCTGACGCTGAGGTCAAAGCTCTCTATGAGAGGCAAATCCTCGAGCATTCCGGGATACGCCTAATTGAGCCAGAGTTGGATGAAGGTTATGATCCGAGCAGAAAACAGCTCTTGCACGAGATTGTCTTGACCAGTGATCTGGCTCCGTTTGCAGCGCAACCAGAACTCGCCAAGCAATTCATGAATGAGCACGGCGACAAGGTTGACGTCTTGCCCGAAGCCAGCGTCGGTGCGGATTGGACTGTCAGACTGCGCCGTGGGGCTACGATCCTCGTTCCAAAGGCACTTCGATTTGACCGAGTCACAGCGGGACAGATTCCCCAGGGCTGGGATGCACGCAGATATGGTGTACCGGACTGGGCTGTTGAGCAGATCGGAAGAGAGACCATTTTTGCACTGGTGTCCACAGCGGAGGCGCTTATCTCGTCTGGTATCGTAGACCCATACGAGCTGTATCAGTACATGCACGTTTCTGAAGTGGGCAACTGTGTTGGATCTGCCCTAGGTGGCCAGCAGGCTCTCAAGAAGATCTTCCGGCACAGGTACCATGGCAAACAAGTCCAGAGCGACATCTTGCAGGAAGTCTTTATCAACACCGCGGCTGCATGGATCAACATGCTACTCCTATCGAGTTCCGGCCCCATCAGGACTCCAGTCGGGGCATGCGCGACTGCGGTAGAATCGCTGGAACTAGGCTACGAGCTCATCACTAGCGGCAGGGCGAAAGTGGTTGTCGTGTAAGTACCAGCGCCGTTTCCATCTTATTGCCAATATAACACCGTACTAACTACTGCGATCACAGAGGTGGTCATGATGACATGACGGACGAGGTGGCATATGAGTTCGCCAAAATGCGGGCTACTGCGAGTACGGATGAGGAATTTGGACGAGGGCGTATGCCCAGCGAGATGTCTCGCCCTATGACATCAACACGAAACGGCTTCGTTGAAGCCCAGGGCAGCGGCGTTCAGATCCTCGCTAATGCTAGGACTGCTCTCGACATGGGTCTCCCTATACATGGGATCGTCTCTTGGGTGGGCACAGCAAGCGACAAAACGAACCGAAGTGTGCCCTCCCCTGGCAAAGGCATTCTGACCAATGCACGCGAGACTAGTCAAGGTATATCCAAGAACCCATTGTTGGACTTGAGGTTCCGCCGAGATCAGATATTAGAACAACAACGCCAAATCCAAGCAGATCTACAGCATAACTTAAAGTCTCTAGAGAAACAACCTACGCCACCAGATGATGCAGCAAATGGTCAATTCGAGCGAAAGAAGCTCTACTTTTACCATAAAGCCCTTAGGCGTAGTAAACAAATACTCAGAGATCTAGGTCACGAGTTTTGGGTTTCTGAACCAGATGTCTCACCGATCCGGGGTGCGCTATCAGCTTGGGGCCTCACTATTGACGATCTGGACTTTGTTTCGCTACACGGCACGTCCACCACTCTGAACGACAAGAACGAGACCAGTGTGATTCAGAAGCAGCTATCTCACCTTGGTCGTTCTATGGGTAACCCGGTCTACAGCATCACTCAGAAGTTTCTCACTGGCCATTCAAAGGGCGCGGCTGGCGCGTGGATGCTCAATGGCGCGTTACAGGCTCTGGATACCGGATTGATTCCTGGCAATCGTAACGCAGATGACATAGCCCCAGAGCTCGAGACTAACGATTTTCTTTTCTTCCCTCACCATAGTATCCAGACCAACGGCCTCCGAGCTTGCTCCATTACATCTTTCGGGTTCGGGCAGAAAGGCGCGCAGGCAATCATCGTCCACCCGCGATACCTGTATGCCACACTTGCAGATGCCGAGGAATTCCACGACTATAAGAGAAAATTACTGATCAGGCAAAGACGAGCTACTAGATTCTTTCAGAAGGGACTAGCTACTCAGTCGTTATTTGTGACTAAGGAAAAGCCTCCGTATACCGAGGAGCAGGAATCTCACGTCTTACTCAACCCAAACGCGAGGATGGAGGGACAGTGTTACAATGTATGATAGATACAGAACATACTATATTAGTAAAAGACTTGCGCAAGCCTGCTGTCAACAACCATTACTTAAAACGGACCCAGCATCGCACGGTTAGTGAACTGATGTGAGGGTATAATTATTGCCAACTAAGAACCTGTAACCTATCATCAGAACCATTTTGGCCTAGGGCTACGCGAAAGATAGGCATCACAGTAGAGCCTTCTTTTATTTACTTTGGTAATGTTATGCGTCAAGCCCATGGAGTCCTCATATTGTTTGCTACATGTAATACCGGAGAACCACATGACTTGTTTGGATTGATCCTGAACTATTTCGGCCAGCTCCATCCGAGATTAGTGACAAGCATGCCTGGCCCCCGACCCTGAACCAGAGAGCATCAAAATATCAGTGAAAACGGCCTTCTTCCCATCAGTCCTGAAGTAATTGCTCGTATCCTCCACTTTATGGTGAATATCGACCTCAACTGGCTGCTCCAGAGCAGGCTCTCCCACTTGGTGACACCATCCAAACAGATCGGCAGCCTTGCAACGCATGATATCGTCCAAGGCGACCGACAACACCCGAGCAAAGGGCCCCTGATTGCTGGCTGGATCTAGGTACCGGAACCTTTCTTGGGTTTCTTCGTTGGTGATGGATCGAATGGAGACCACCGAAGCTGCAGTGCCAACGGCAATTACCTCGGAGAATTCTGAGAGCTCGGTGTATTTGATCTAGGTTTCGTCAGATTCCTGTGGGAAAATACCACTTCGTAACCAAATAGTTTCAACTGCTTATATAGTGGGTGAAAGGGTATGCATCTTACTGGTCTCTTCTCGATAGTCCAACCGTAGTGCTTGGCAAGTTGCAAACAGCAATCGCTGGTTATGCTTCTAATGATACAAGGACTGTCAGGTGCCACGACCTTTACGCTCCCATCGTTAGACACCTTGATGCCGAGAAAGCCACTGGTTGAAAACTCATCGATTTCTGTTCGGGTTTTGCTATCCAGATGCAGCGTCATGCCGAACCCATCTGCCTTTGCCTTCTCGCTCCATTTGATAACGGGAGCATAATTGCCACCGACCTTTGCGTGTCCCTGGCCTCGTGGCGCGGCTCGGTCGAAGTTCAGAAGAACCAAGGCATCCTGGGCCAGGGTGCCATGATATGCGGATACAGGCTTGACGAAGACGCAGAATGTGAATTCTGAGGGAGGCATCAGCCCTATCATCTCAGACGACCCAAACGCAAATGGCCGGATGTACAGCATGGCTCTCGAGGTATTTGGAGGGATGTACGAAGAGTTGGAAGTCACAGCTAGTTCAACACACGATAAGAAAAGACACTCGGGTATATCAGGAATGCTGACAACGGAGGTTGAATGTGACATTCTTTTGGCGTGTTGACCAGGGCGGAAGATGGAGACCCTGCCAGTCGCAGTTCGAAATGCTGTTCCTGTCAGATTACCTTACTAGATCTATAACATCATATGCGAGGGCTTACCTTTAAGCCCTTCATAGCATTGTTGTCCTGGTTTGTGGAAGCAATTTTGTTAGTGTTGCTATCGTAAAACAGCTAATGCAGCGCTCGTCTAACATAGAACAGAGGGCAAACCTACCATACTGTAGTCCGGGTGCTAACCCGTGAACTCGTAAGTACGGATCGCTGGTGAATATGGGGTCACTCCATTCACCAGTAGACGCTTTGTAAGTGGACTCAACATGGCCCAAACCTAGAAGGGATAAAAGTCTCGATTAGTAACTACGCTGTTTTGAGGAAATACAGACCGCAGGTAGGTAGACTTACACTGGGAGCTATCGATAGTAATGTTTTCCCAATCTGTTTATCAAAACTATTACCCGTTGCTCTTTTTCTCTAACACGTCTTTTTGGAACACCTACCCAAAGACTTTACTGGTGGTAATATTTGTACCATACTGGTAGAGGGTTGCTTTAGTAAAATAATGATTTTGATAAAACTTGAAAGGAACGTTACTGATCACCATGTACTATCTGGGGAAGCTTTATAGATGCATAAACGCGACACTTGGGCAGCTAGAGGTTTTGTGTCGTGGATCTGACTATAGGATTATTTCTTGTGAATCTAGAGTCTCGTGTGTGCTATCACGATCTGCTGGTCGCCTCATTCGCTCCTCGCCACCTCGAACGGTCATCCAGACTTTGAAATGCGATTTAACACCTGCCGTGACATCCGTGTCTCATAAATTCAACGCATCAGAACAGCTATTGTTTGCGGTGGTCACACCTTCAGAAGTGGCACCACCCTCGTCCCTAACTATGCCAAAATGTCATTCTCAAGGTTATGCCACGTAAATAGCCATCTAATACCCAGTAGGTTCTAATGCCATTTTCCCCACCTCTAAAGAGGTAGTTACAAAACCTTATACCCAATTAAAACCGTAACTTATTATTAGCCTATATAGATTATTATAGGGTAATATAAATAATAAATTAGCTACTAAGTAATTAATAGTATAGTATATACTATATAGTAGTAATTTTATTACCTTATAGTAATTTATATAGGTTAATATTAGTTACAGTTTTAATATAGTTATGGCTTTTAGCACTACCTCTTTAAAGGTAGGGAAAATGGCATTAGAACCTACTAGGTACATTATTAAGAATAATAAATCTTACTAAAGTTTATATTATCTATTGCATATTCCTTAATACCTGCCTTTACTAGCTTCTTTACTGTCTAAGTATGTGTATAGATAACCTTAAAGCCTGGCCAGATAATAAACAATTTCCTAAACCCTATACTTACTTAGGGCCTAAAATATATAAATAAGAAATACTACTGCCACTAGGCATATATTATAACTTAAAAGTATAAAGTAAAAAAGATAAATTTAGTTAAAAGATATATACAGAACTGCCTATAAGGTACTATAGTATAGGTTATTTTTTTTTAAGTTTATAAGTTAGCCTTTAAAGGTATATTTAAGTATCTTTAAAGTTTAGTATA